GCGTCGCGTTTTTTTTTTTTTTTTTGCTTTTACGCGGCGTCGACCTCACCTCTATACGGAGAGAGAGGGCGACTTCGCCTAGCCACGCACCCATTCTCTCTCTATAAAGTTTTTCATCCACCCACCCATCTTCGGCGTTCGTTCGTTAGTATTTGCTAATTCAGCGAAAAAAATCGCAATGCTAAAGAACTCGTTTATACGTAAGCAGCATTGCGGGACAATACAAGGCTTCGCAACTGTGAAGGGGCGAAATGACAGACGTGCAGAAAAAGAACCAGCGCCGTCCAAGCAGACGATCTCGGGTCATTCACGATAGTCTGTCATCGTTGTGCGGCCCGATTTCGTGAAGGCACATGTGTGACCGTGTAATCTTGTTCGTCTGTTCTCCCAGATGCGTAATTTAAGTGCGCGGCGTTGGCACGACCTTCTGCTGTGTTCGTGGAAACATCCCTTGGTGCTTCGGAAGAAGCGATCGAGCAAGACCGCCTTACACGTCCACACCTCTGGTACATCCCGACGCACTCTCCGCCATCTTTTTACAATTCAGCACGGACCACCGACCTTATGGCCATCTGCAGCAAGTGTCGTATAAGTCCTTCTGTTTCTTAATCACCTGCCATTGCTTCCACTTGACACTACTCTCAAGCTACGTTCGCGTGTTTGAGTCAAGGAGGATTTAAAAAAATTCCTGGAGTGGAAATAGTTTCGCAGAAGTGAAGCCGTTCCTTTGGCAAGATGGCGGCTGTGGCGGCCATCTTACTAGGGACATGATAAGGTATCACCGTTCAGCGATTAAACACGAAGCGTTTCTCTCGCGCGCCCAACGAGTTTAATGTGGGAACTTTTCGGGTCATATAGTGTTCGAAGTGCGTCTTACAGTTACTAGTTTTCCCTTATTGAGCCTCTCATTGGAGGCAAAGTTCTTTGAAGATTTAGTCATCCATACTCCGTTTCTGTGTGTTATTTCGTCGGGAACAACTATCTTTTAATTTATAACTAACGTAGCATTTACATAACGTATCAAAGCCACTTGATCTGTAAGTGGGCATCATCAGAAAAGAGCATGTTTCCGCCATCTTGGCAGTGGCAAAAGGTGGCTTCACGTCTGCTGGCAAGACATTGCGGGAGCTTTCACTCCAGCGATTTTTATTTAGTCCTCCTTGGTTTGACTCAACCTTCGTGAGGCGAGATGACGACGGCGTTTAATCGGCTCCCGTGCGAGCCACGCGAGTGAAATTACGAAGACCAACAAGTATACACGCCGAAACGTTGTTGAAATTTGTTATCCGAGTCGTCTGTCCACTTCCCTCTAAAGATTGGAGCTAAGTCCGGTTATCAACTGCCCTAGATTGCATTCAATCGTTTTTTTTCTTGTATCTAAATAAAAAAAAGCACCTATAGATGAGATACTTAAATGCTGTCGTCTATGAGCACTGTCGGCTATACGTGCGTCGCACGTCGTCTGTTATGCACGTTGTCTGTTCACTTCCCCCTAAAGTCAGGAAGTCAGTTAACATTTTGGATTTAGTTGACTTCGTATCTTTCTCCTGTCTTTGTCGGCATAGATAGCGTGTGCAAGTCGCAGAGTTCGTACATAGACCCCACTCAGGGACTACTGCAGCGAATAGTTTGAGTTTGGAAATGTGCTGTGGACAAAATGTCCAGTACGTAAAAAAAAACAACAACTTAGATTTACTATGTAATCAGGCAAAAATAAACAAATTGCTTTTATCGGGAACCCAACAGTGTCTACATGTTATCTGGGCATATGATATCACAATGGAAAAATAGGTTTTGGATCTTTTTTCACAAAATTGTTTTGTAAACTTCGGATTATTTCTCATATCGCTTTGTCAACTGGCGTTACTGAACTCTTCTTGAAAACAATAGAATATTTTAAGCAATCGCGTACATTGAGTGCGAGGAATTTGACATTTGCGTTCGTCTACATTCTGGAAAAAACTGAAATGAAGTAACAATTCGCTTGCGAAAGTTTTTAGTCAATATTTGAGATATTTTGAGTGTTTTTTTTTCTTTTCAACCTCTAGATTTTGAAAAAAGCTGTTTATGTATATCTGTCACACTTTTCTACTGGCATGCGATGAACCCACCGTATATGACGTAAATGCTACAAATCATTTCGTGCAAATACTTTTTCTTGCCGCCATGACTTGACGCTTTAATCAACGCCCATCGATATCGAGTTTGATATTGCTTTAGGTGTTTAGCTTTGAGAAGATAAACTACGCTTCCTTCTGGGGTGTTCCCACGAAATAATGAACTCGCACATATCAATCTAGAAGCAAATACATGTTACTTGTGCGATAAGTTGCAAACTGTTTTACTGATACCGACGAATGGAGAACTGAACTGAACTTCATTTTAGCATCTATACATGGTACAGATAACATCCATCTATAGTTCCGTGAACGTCTCCTTATCTGGGTCACTTTCGTGGAAGGATAAGATGCCTTGTCCCGGGAATTTCATATCTGCGCTCTCCCGCGAGAACCGAACAAGTCATGCACCCACGAAGTTATCTTTTTTTTTTTTCTTATTGCCAGGTTTCGTCGTTAGGCGGCTGTTCCGCTCTGTGAACGCTACTGGACCTCCATTCAGATCTCGCATGCCGCATATAACCGGCCTGTCCTGTTTATTTGCTCTTATTCCCTCTGCTCTCATTGCGAAAGTAATGTCGTCTGCTCAAAGCCGGTTCTGACGTCAATACTCGGAACACATACGTTAGGTACCGGTGAATTTTGTCAATTCACTGTTTTGATTAATTTTATGCCATCGTCGTCTGTCATTCTTTCTTTAACCGTACTTAGGTAAAATTTTGCTGGAGCAATCTTCTTATCCCGTGAGTCATATATGACAGGCTGTTTTTTTATCCGTTCGTGTGTCGGCTGCTTCAGGTGTGTCTGCTAAGTTAATACAAACGCAGAATTTCCTAGAACAGCGCACGATATGGCTGACGTATCCCCTTGAGATATGCCCCAAAATTTTCGAAAATTGATAGCTCGATTTCCGTCTGAGCTGCGTTATTTGAAACGTCCTTAGCTAGATGTATCTACTAATTTGATTATAGCTATAATATCGCCTCTTGTGCAGACAACCTTTTTAAATCAGCTTAACTCCCTTGATAAGCTTCTTTTGCAACCATGTGATCTCTGCTATTGCTCAATTTATGTCGTCTGCTAACTTAAAGCAGACGAGCATCACAGACGCCCGCAGTTTAAATTGGGGGCTCTCTTCATACGCTTTTTCGTATCCCTGTATCCTTTGCTACCGCACAAGGAGCGTCGTCTGCTAAGAAAAGCAGACGAAAGGCGTCTCTCATTACGTCACGGCCTTGAGACAGGTCTTGCACTTGCGTCATAACCGAACACTATTCCTAACGCAAACGTGTCCGCTTTTTTTTTTTTCTTTTTCCGATTATGGAGGTTTTCGTGGGCGCTTCTTTGTGAGAATTTGCCGAGCGTTAAAAAAAAACATATTCGTGCGTTTCGTCCAAGAAAGCTGCCTTCGATCTTTTAATAGGCACACCCATCTACGCTCGCGCCCGAATAGTTTCGCCAATCAAGTCCATTCCGTCGAAGTCTAACAGTCCGAAACCGGACGTGAGAGAAATAACCAGGCCCGCACTCTTACGAATCCAGCGAGTGCAGCGCCATTGTTATTCTGCGAAACCCGTCGTTCAGCGAGTCACGTATCGACGCACCGCCCTTAAAACCACTGATGGGTCGGTCTATCGTCTGCAACTATCCGTGGAAGAACAGACGCGCGCTCGGCAGTTGCGCGTATATATATAGAACAACGTCAGGCGTGACGTCATCACCCCCTCTCCCATTTCCGTCGTTTCGCGCGCCCGCCTTTTAATGCGCGGCCCACTAACGTATGCTTGTACGACACGTACGACACAAATGGACGACCCCCTCGGAGAGCTTTTCGCTTGTTCCGTGCAGTGCTTGCAAACGCTGCGCAGAACAGAGAACACTGCACGTAAAAACGTTGCAGACGCTAAAATGGAATGACAATAGCTATAGCGCGAGAACAAAACGGCGACACGGAGACAAGAAGGACACGAAGGTGCTTCTTGCCTTTGTGTCGTCGTTTTGTTCTCGCGTTATAACTATCGTCATGCCATACCAACTAGCCAGAGCTGCTACACTGCTAAATGGAAAGAGGCACCAGAGGGAAAAACGTTTTTTTTTTTTTTTTTCGTGTGAGTAAACTACAGTTTCCAGATACCGGAAGCACCACCTGGACCGTCAGAAGACGTTTGGTAGGTGAGAAAATCTACAAAAGTAAAAATACAACCGGCGACGCCACCTTATATTCTCCGCACTACCTCACAAATTTTGATGGCGTCTGCGAGGACCTACGTAATCGTTTATCACTAAGAAGTGGCCTGCATTGTCTCCCAAAGAACACGAAGTGTTAACGTAGCAAGTTTCAGAAAAAAATATTGAGCCAGTGCGGCTGCCAGAAGGCTGAAACTCGTGACTTCGATCTGACGTCTACTTGCTCGAGTTCCGGCGTGAATTTCAGAAATGAAACTTTGACCATTACTCCTTCAATAATTAACTTCTGATGAAGGAATTAATGACAACAAAGTTCTGAAAGGACGAATGCATCTGTCGAAATGGATTTCATGTTTCACTTTAGAGTCCCTTAATGGGGCCTTCCTGTGGTTTTTCTCTGTATACTATCAAGCTTTTCTTTTATCTTTTTTTTTTCGCGCTCATTCCTCTTTAGTCGCTGCGTCGGCAATTATTTGTCAGCGAGATACGACTGGAGAGCTTCTCGCCCATCCATCACACTCGCACAGAACAATGGCGCTGAGATTTCGCCCGAGCGCGGATTACGGCGAACTGTTTGCTTGCTCGGGGAGCGCTTCTTCTCCTGGAAAAACGATGCGAGCGCCGCCGCTACGCTGCGGCTGTTTTCGCAAGCTTCGCCCGCCCCACCAGAACTACCGTCGGCCGACTCGCCTCGCCTCGACTCACTTGTCGTCTGCTCTTTCAGCGGGACAGGACGGTAGCGGGCGCCGTCTGCCTTCTTGTTCGCCGTTGTTCGCAGCAGACGACGCTCGGTCGTCTGTGCCTGCCAGGAATTGGAATTTCGTTTGCCGGGCGGCTTCGTTTGTTCGTGCGGGTCTTTCGTCCCTGTGGATTTCTAACCGCTGTGCCTTCGGTGTATGTGTGCTCTGTGCGCACCCATGAAGTGCGCGGACACCAAGCCGCGCGTGTCCATTGCTGACTACGGCAGGATATGCTGCTCCGAATCGGCGGCGTGCTCGCCTTCGAGGCGCGATGCGAAGCGCAAGTGTGATGTCGCTTTCGCGTCCGACGCTGCGCTGATGACGACGAACGGATTGCCCGTGGTGAGTTTCGCTTTTCCGTGAATAAGTACAGGTGGTGGTCGGCCAGACGCAGAACCACTTTTGATAGCTTCATTCACTACTGAGAACTGGCTAACCTCCCTGTCCTTCCTCATTTATTCCTCCTCCTTCATTCACTACTACTTCTCTCAGTCCCAGTGTGCGCACGTTTTTTTTCTAGAGAACTTGGCATTACTCGATGGCAAAATATCGTCGTTTGTGAGTTCGTGGGTGAGCACAAACTTCCAAAAAAAAAAAAAAGCGAAGAAGGGCTAGTTGGTTATGAACGTTTTGTCTGCGTACATTTAGCTAGGGATGAGTCCCAACGCAGTGTGAACCCGCTTCCCGCTAACTCATTTAGATGTTAACGTTCTCCACGCTAACATGACCAAGCGCGAAGATTGAAGCACGAATCTCTCAAATGTGTTGATAAGAGAAATCAAAAACTGCAACGGATGACACTTTTAGGTGCCCGCTCGAAACGAGCACCGGAGGCGGCACGTTTCAGTTTCGCTGTTTATCCACCAGTACGGAATGCTTGTGGAGTACGGAGTCTCTCTACTGACGTAGTGCGAGTTATGTCTTCATGGCCGAATACCGGATTCGCGACAAGCCCCTAGGCGATTCGCTTTGTTCGGGCTTGTTTGGAATGGCGTTCTTGTGTTCCTTTAGGAAAGGATCCAGTACAAAGGGTACAGTTTCTGGTCAATTTGTTAATTTTTGGTGGTTGAGACCGGGAGGCAGGATGAGATAGAGATGGATGAAAACTTCGATTGACGATCGCAAAAATGCGATCGCGTTGTCTACCGAATCTTGGCTGTTCGATACACTACGTGTTTTTGCAAACTTTCAAGCGTGCCAACAAACCAAAGTAACGACGAAATTAGCGGATGGTAAGACCTTTGCAAGCTCCTGTTTTCAGTGGGCCTCAATTACGTGAGATGTGGAAATGAAAACGATATAATTTTTTTGGTAAAGAACTAGGGAGGTACTGCATAAATACACGAAAATTTAGAACATTGATGAAGTTCATAGCCAAACGGATCGATGATACTATTTGCGGACTTGTTTCGGGTTCGATCCTGACCGTGGTGGTCGCATTTCAAAAATAGGAGGCTCTGTGATGTCAGTGGAGGTTAAAGAACTCCAGATGGTCCAGAATAATGAGGAGTTTCCACTGCGGCCTGCGTCATAATCATATCGTGATTTTGGGCATAAAAAAAAAAACCTGATGTTATTACTGTTCTGAAAATCATAATTTTTTTCGCGGGTCAATTGCTTTGTCGGCCACGCTTCTCTAAGTTAACTTGAAAATGGACGAGACGATATTTTACCAAGCATGTACATATAATAAGAGCAATGGCTTTTGACATTCTGTACCCCGCTGTTCCTTTGTAAAATTCGACATCTAAATATATAACCGTAGTGTGTTTTCGACGTGTGGCGTATTTCGAGTATATTTTCCGAGAGCTGCCGAGGTTTTTCAAGAGTATTTTCATCTGCCGAAGTTTCGTACCAGGGTGGGTTGAACTCACTTGCCTAATTAAACGTCTTTTTTTCCCCTTCGTAATAACCATTTTTTTCCCCCATTTCTTCTTGATGCTCGAGTTGTTGCTAAAAACCAGAGTCTCTTGAAAACAGCAGAATTCGAACATGGCTCAAGTTGAACAGCTTTGGGAATCCACAAAGATAAACGATGTCTTGTGCGTTTTGTATGGACTTTTGTTATACACTCGAACGAGATACACCATGCGTCGACACGATAGCACTGCATTAAAATAAACAATAAAAAAGGTTGACGTGGACTTGGTAAACTGACCTTGTGACGATAACGTAACCACTACTAAGGTAATGTCTATATCCATCTATCTGCCTCAATCTATGTTTATACATCTACCGATTTGTCACCGGCTATCCATGCAAACACATTCTATTGAGTTTTATTTGATTCTATTTAACCACGCGTGTACTGTGAATCTGTCGTTGCCTTAAGAGAAATACCAAGAGCTGTAGGGGTTAACCTGCCAGCTACAGAGTGAACAGTTATCCGAACTCAATTACAGTATTGCTAACCATTATATTGTCAAGATAAGCCCTTCTAGAATAATCTATTGATTCTATTCTATTACACGCGTACTGCGAATTCCTCGTTGGTTCTTGACATGATGTACCAAGAACAACTGTAGGGGTTGCCAGCTATAGAGCGAACAGTTATGTGCACTTATTACAATATTGCTAACTACAATATTGTTAACATAAGCGCTTCTAGAAAATAATATATTCCTGGCGTATTGTGAATTCTTCGTCGATTTTTTTTTACAAAGAATAACAATTATTGGGGTTTAACGTCCCAAAAACCACCATATATGATTATGAGAGACGCCGTAGTGGAGGTCTCTGCAAATTTCGACCACCTGGGGTTCTTTGACGTGCACCTAACCTAAATCTAAGCACACGGACCTAAATCATTTTTGCGTCCATCGAAAATGCGGCCGGAATTCGATACCGCGACCTGCGGGTCAGCAGCCGAGTGCCTTTGCCACTAGACCACCGCGGCGGGTTCCATGTTCGTCTTTAACAGAAATACCAAAGGTAACTGTAGGAGTTGCGAACTACAGAACGAATACTTATGTTCGCCTAATTACAGATCTCATAGCCGAATGATGCGCCAGTATGAAAGCGTCATCACTTGAAACACGTCACTACAGATTCAACGACAGACGGCTGACTTGGTATTGTTGCAGAACATCGGACGCGTTATGGGAAGGTCGTAGGGTCGGTCCCTACACCGGCGGGCAAGTTGTTTTTTTTCGTCAAACCTGTATTTATTCTCACTTATATAGTCATTATACAGTACAGGTAATAAACTACATATGTCCCCTATACTATTCCTGGCGTAATTTTCCGTTGGTTTTCATGATTGTGTCTGAAAACTAAAAACAAGGCCTCGACCCGTTGCCTTTTTTTGTTCATACGACTATCAAGCTACGAAAGCGCTGTTGAGAAGAAAATATAGACAGGAAAAGCAAATCGACGTAAAAACTGACATACGTCGTTTGTGCTGTAAAAATATTCTGACCTATTACAAGTGGTGTCAGTGAACGCTGGGCCGAACATCGCTTTAACATCAACTTCAAGATGGACTCATGCTAGAGATATCTCAAATTATTTTTCTTTTTTTGACGCCTATAGAAAAGTGCGTGTGGTATAAAGGAGGTTGCTGAACTTCCAATGCGTATGCGCTACTACGTTAGTTTTATCCATTGCCATTTTTGTTTGAAGTTTGTTCCCTGGCACATTGTAGCGGTGGTCATCGCGAAGAAAGTCGCACGTCATGCGACGAGCCTGGAGGGGCCGTAAAGGCGCGGCAAATGCGCCTGCAAGAATGTTGTTGTTAGGGTTTAACGTCCCGAAATATAGCGGATTTCATGTAACCACTAGATTATTATGGCACATTTCTTTACGAGGGAATAATGGTGACCTCCTGAAACGATGGAGCTCTAAATACTCGCTAGTGGTCGCGGGTGATTTCCGCACACATCCGTTTTTTTTTTTTCAAAATGATGAAAATCAGAATGGTATACAGTTAGCTGTACGTACACGCTTTTACGCAAGACTAAAGTCTTGCGTAAAGCCCCTCACGTGGACAGCGCCATCTAGGGGTGTTAAACGAATGCTTTTTATATAAATTTCTTTTTTGGCACGTCGATTCCCTATCGGAAAAATTGCCATGGTGGATACTGGAAAACATGGTGGGAGTAGTGGAAATAATAGTGGGCATGGTGGAAATAATAGTGGGCATGGTGGAAATTATGATGGCTATGGTGGGACGTAGTGGAAAATATGGTGGTTATGCTGGGACATACTGGGTGATATGGTGTACAGATGATGGGTAAAGTGCAAATGATGGTGGAAAGCAGAGGCTAGATAGTGGGCAATAATGGGACACTCTGCCCACCATTGCGATAATGCTGGGAAGCCCTAAGTATATGGTGGGTGGTGCTTATTATGGTGGGTTACATGGTGTACCAAGTTGAGAAACTCTTCCCACCATTGCGATAATGCTGGGAAGCACTAAGCAGATGATGGGTGCTGCTTGTGATGGTGGGCCACATGGTGTACCAAGCTGAGAAGCTCTGCCCACCATCGTGATAATGCTGGGAAGCAGTAAGCAGATGATGGGTGGGCTTATAATGGCGCGCAATTTATATAGTGTACAAAGCTGGGATCTGTACACTACATGTTCTACCACCATGATTTCCACCAAAGGTTAGGCCTACTGACCGAGCCCGTACAATTGTGTTATCCGTGCTTCTGGATTTCAGAATACATGATTACGACGATTAAGTATGACAATACAGCGCAGCCATTAGCATCAATTAACCTAAATGAAGCATTTTTCATTGTGTATGGTGTCCGCTCAAGAAGCAACAAACATCGATACGATGCGATTAAAGCACTCCCAGAGAACGTAATTAAGTGTCTTCTCACCGACAGCCGCCAGTCACTATCGCCGGCACTTCTCTAGCTTTTGTACGAGAACTCAGACGTGCAATTCGTGTGCTTGGTGAACCAATATGATAGCGTAATGTTTCCGGCACACTGCATTCGTTTTGGCCAAGCCGTTATGTAGTTGTTGCTTTAGCGAAATAGCTACAGCATTGCGCTGGCGCGACCGCCCTCTACATTGCGCGAAAAGCATCCAAATACTCAATCAAATAAATTAGGCGGGCGTATCTATGGAATGAGCCTAGAAGCGTCATAAAGCGTGAGCAGATGTCGCCCTTTAGAACGAGCGCGAAACAGATATTAAACTTGGCAGACCCCACCGGTAAACTGTTGCTGCTCCCCAGTCCACTTGGGTTTTTTTCTTGAAGTTGTGAATTGTAAAAGAAAAAATAGCACTAGTGCCATTAACATAGTGGCGATCGTTACAGGCCGCAGTTGCTTGTGTTTAATAAATGTGCAATATTTAGTAGCAGGTGTATATCTTCTCTATGTTG